CAAAGATTCTATCTTGATAAGATCACATGGGCTACGACGTTCCGACAAGCGTATGATATCTTCAAACAACACTTTGACACGGAAGTCAACCATGTCCACTACCATACTGACTGGACAACAATAACCTTTAACTCCATCCGTGCCCAAGATGCTTCGAAGACCCCCCACGAAGTGCTTCAAATCCTCTTTGATAAGCTTCAGCTCTGCCAACGAGCCCTTGGCAGGGAGTACGCAGGAGACCTCCAACTGCGTACAACGCTTATGAAAGCATGCCGTGGAGTACCCGAACTCCAATACGCTCTTTTCAAACCCGCCGATAACGTCGAGCACCTTCTTGCAGATCTTCGTGCATCCGTTGAAACCCATCTTGCCCTCATAACAACTTCTCAATTTCCCTTGACTTTGCTGGATCATTTGATCATAACGATCCACACCATCAGTACTACCTCGACCGTCGATACAATAACAACCGCTCTCGAGGTAGATACGGATATTCAGGTCAACGACCCAGCCGCGGATACAGACAAAGCTACAACCGTGGAAACTACCGGCCTCAAAGCCGTAGTAACTACAATCATAGCTACAGTAACCGAAACTGGACGAAGAAGTGTTTTGTTTGTGGACAAGAAGGCTGTTGGTCAACTAAACACTCTACGGATGAACGGCAAAAGGCCAAGGACCAACATATCACTCAATGTCACTTCATAGGTGTACAACTCACGGACATCGGAGGCTATATTCTAGACTACGAAGGTCATGAGATGAGCAGCTTTGATGACACTGAAGATACATGGGAAGAACATGACAATAGCACCAACGATCACCCGGAACAATGGCAAGCAAGCCAAATGCTCTGTCAACAGGCATTCAATCATTTGATCACAGGAGAAGACGTCTATCAGACGGATCAAACCGTTGTTCCAGCCTCGCAATTTATTATTGAAGATCGCTATTCAAGGGATAGATTCCAAGGTATCATGATCGACACAGGTGCAGCAACATTTTCCACAGCAGGATACTCTCAGTACATCGCCCTACAACGAGAAGACCCTTCTGTAGCTCTCGACAGCTCCACATCCGGCCAGGCCTCCATCAAATTCGGCAACAGCGACGCCATCCACCCTCGGCACAGTCGCCCTTAACACACCCTCGGAAGGATCACGTTCCACGTCCTTCAAACCCCAACTCCCTTTTGCTCTGCCTTGCTGATATGGACCGGCTTGGTATCTATTTCAACAACATCACAGATACCATCAATTGTACTAATCATTGTACTAATCGCCCTACAAGCATTCCAGTCGTACGCAAATGGGGACATCCCTGGTTCTTCCTTACGAAAGATGAAGAGTCCATCTCGTTTCTTACGGAAACAGAGATTCGTACACTTCACCGACGCTTTGGACACCCAGCAGTCCCTAGGCTCCATCACCTCTTGAAGCAAGCCGGGCACAGTGACGTCTCGATAGACACATTAGAGACTATCTCTAAGTTCTGTCACCACTGTCAAATGCACTCACAAGCCCCACGCCGCTTCAAGTTCACCCTTAACGATGATCAAGAGTTCAACTACGAAATCATCGTTGATGTGATGCACCTAGGAACACCACAACGCCCTGTTCTACACGTTGTGGACTCAGCTACTGCTTTCCAAGGAGCCAGATTTTTACCGTCAATGTCAGCTAAAGATACATGGGAGACCCTCCGGACCCTCTGGATCGACACGTATCTTGGACCTCCTGATACCCTCCGTCATGATGCAGGAACTAACTTTGCTTCTCTCGAATTCCGGAACGAAGCAAAGATTATGGGAATCAAATGCTCTCAAGTACCTGTTGAGACGCATTGGTCCATTGGAAAGATTGAACGCTATCACGCACCCTCCGACGCGCCTTTAACATCCTCCATGCTGAGATTGGCCACACCACTTCCGCCGAAACAGTCCTTCAAATGGCTGTTAAAGCAATCAATGATACGGCAGGACCTGACGGTCTTGTGCCTACGTTGCTTGTTTTCGGCGCATACCCGCGTATCTACAGACTCGCCCCTTCCGCTTCTACCCTCAAAAGATCGGAAGCTATGCAGAAAGCGATGAAAATGCTCCGCCAACTCTCGGCAGAAAGACGAGTTAAGGATGCCCTCCATGCACGCAACGGCCCGAGCACGACAGAAGTGCTATCCCTCCCGCTGCAAAGTGAAGTTCGCGTTTGAGAGAGAAAGACGGTTGGCAAGGACCCTTCAAGATTGCATCGATTGATACCCATAACATCACCATTGACACAGTCAACGGCCCCAAGTCTTTCGATCGACCCTTGTACAACCGTATCTGCGTGATGATACCACTCTTTCCGACCCTACACACGACACAGACCCTCAGGCATTCGTTCAGATCTTAATGAACAACCGGCTCAAGACCCCGTTAAGACCCTAACGGACCTGCCTGCCCGACCCGAACCCCGCCCCGCAAGAGAGGACGCCCACCAGGATCAAAGAACAAGCCAAAGGATTTGATCATGATGGCCCAAGCCGTAGACCAGAGCTTGACCCAAAAGGAGGAAGATGCACAAGCTCTTTCCTCAAGCTACGGTCTGATGGCATAATCACCTCTCCTGGTGACCCCTTCGAAGAATCCGATAACAAAGAGATTACTGACCTCGTTGGCCGCGGTGTATTCCAATTTGAACGATACGATCAAATGAGTCATGGAAACTATAGAATCTTTCGCTCTCGAATGGTTCGTGAAGTCAAAGGAATCAACACTAAGCCCTACGAAAAGTCTCGACTTGTTATTCAAGGACATAACGACTTTGAGAAGACCACCCTCCTGACGCAATCTCCGACAATTCAACGCGTTAGCCAGAGACTCATCCTCGCTATTGCCCCGGACTTCTTCAAAACTACGGCATAACCCTCTCCTCCGTGATATCACTCAGGCATACCCGCAATCCCAGACCAAGCTTTCCCGGACCATTCTTACGTATTTGCCCACGGAACTACAAGGCAAATACCCTAACGGAACAATTATTCGTGTTATTAAGCCCCTGTACGGTATCGCAGAAGCCGGAGTCCATTGGTTCCGCACATATCAGCAGCATCACCTCGAAAAGCTGGATATGTCTACCTCCACCTATGACTCCTGCCTACTGATTTCGAATACTGGCCCTGACACGCTCGGTATTGTTGAATGCAAACTGATGACACCTCATCCTTGGAACGAACAACTTTTCTACCCGTGAAGAAGAAGAGCTACAAAGGCAGAATTTCGTTCCAAGCCCAAGACTGACATCACATACGGAACAACGGTTGACTTTAATGGTGCAAGACTGACGTTGCTGAATAATAACCCCCTTAAGAAAGGATCCCTTTTACTTCAACAGAAGGGACAAGCAGCAAAAATGACCACCATTGACCCTAAAGCAATTGATCGTCACCAGCGCTACGTTGAGGAACGAGCGCGAGCCTCATACATTGCTTCAATTGCTCAACCGGAAGCTTCTTTCGATGTTTCAGTCGCCGCCCAAGTACAGACCCCTGAGGATAAAGATTACGCAATTTTGAACAAGCGACTGCAATGGCAAATGGATCACCAACTACGTGGCCTCACGTACAAACCAATTGATCTAGCTACTGCAAAGCTGATGGTTTTCACCGATGGTTCTTTCGCAAACAACAAGGACTTATCCTCCCAACTAGGATTCGTCATTACCCTCGTTAACGAGACAAACCACAAAGAAAAACAGTTCGAGATTAGTGGTAACATCGTACACTGGAGTTCAACAAAGTGCAAACGTGTTACCCGTAGCGTCCTAGCATCAGAGATCTACGGTATGGCCAACGGATTCGACATAGGCATCTCCTTGCGATGACTATGAAGATAATTACGGAACGACTCAACCTTCCTCCTATCCTCTCATCGTCTGTACGGATTCGTACTCTCTACGAATGCCTAGTCAAGCTCGGTACGACGAAGGAAAACGATTGATGATTGATATCATGGCCCTTCGCCAGTCATACGAGAAGAGAGAGATAACAGATATTCGTTGGATCAACGGCGCAGACAACCCAGCAGATGCAATGACGAAAGCATCACCAAACCGAGCCCTGGAACGCTTCATCGATACCAATAGTCTGACAATTCGAGTCGAAGGATACGTACAACGTTCCTAACCGCTCCTTATCCCTATGATCAAATGATTGCTCCTATCAGGAAGACCCTTCACTTCTTCCCCGATATCTACAGCTAAGAACAAGACGTCGGACCCACTTTTTCGCAATAATGACACACGCCCTCACGGCACATTCCTTCACGGCCTTAACGCTACTATCCTTTAGACCTGTTCAAGGTGTTGCTGTGCTTCTCACAGCAAAAGAAGAGTTGCCTGTGTAGGAATGTATCTATCTAGTGGTGTGACCAACCATGGTTGGCACGTGACCCGTACGGTCACGTGTGCGGCTGAGGGCAGCGTGCCCCCTTTCTCCACGCTGGCCTCTGCCTCCTTAGATAGAGAATCAAGACGAATACAACATCACAGGTTAACCCTAGTACCGTCTCATTGCAGCAGCTGCCGCAGGTGCCTACCCACAATAAAGATATTAAATAGAAATTTTAAATATAAAAAGAAAAGAATATATAAGGATAATCTAATATAAATTTATATATAAGGTTTTTTTTATTTTTATTTATTAATAAGGGCTATTTTAGTATTAGTAATAACTATTAAAAGCTTCCTCTATAGAGCTAGAGGGTGTGCTAAGTTTAGGTATACTAACTTAATATGCCACCGGGAAATTCCCGCCGCGGCGCTCCACCGCCCCGTTTTCTGCCGGACAAACCCTGTCCTCACCGCCCCGACTTTTCTTCCCTTCCTTTCTGCGCGACCCCAGCATCAGCAGCAGCAGTAGCAGCACACCCACCAAAGCTGCAAATCCTCAGCCGCGTCTCGCCCTTCCCCTCACCTCACCATAAGCCTACCCACGAAGAACCGCGAAAGGAGGGAAAGAAGATGCCGCGCGAAGAGTACCAAGTCCCAACCGCATCCGCAGCAGTCGGCGCTCCCGCGTCCGCCGCCCGCGGGTCCACGCGCGAGGGCCACGACTCGCGCGCTGTCATGTCGTACCTGTGTGGCGACTGCGGCGGCACCGTGACGCTGACCAAGGACGCGCTCGTGGCGTGCCCGCACTGCGCGGGGCGCGTGCTGTACAAGGAGCGCACCAAGCGGTGAGGTTTCCCCCTTTTCCCTCTTCAACCCCGTTGTGCGCGCAGCTGTGTATATACGTGTGTTGCGGACGTGTTATGGACTGGCTGCTGACGCCGCGAAATGCTTAGAATGGTCCAGTTTGAGGCGCGGTGATGATGCCCAACGGTCAGAGCGGGCGATGGAGAAGAGCGGCTTCCACGGTCGGCCATGGCGGTTTCTGGGCGGCGCCGAGCCGGGGATGGTGTTTGGAGTTATTCGGAGCTTTGGATCTGACACGCGGGGCGAGAGGTGATATCCCATGCAACGCTGCCGGTGTCAAGAGATACGGTGTCATCACTGGCGTGGCTTGTTCCTGCTTGCTCGTCCTCATGCCTCTTGATATCCTGCTTTGCATTTCCACTTTGTTTCGACATAAAGCTCAACGAGGAAGATGAAGCAAAAAAAGTCATGCGGCCTATGCCTAGAGTATCACTCCCAAATCTCAGCGCCGAACTCCAAAACTGCCAATTCCTGTAATCCTCGCTGAACACCTCAGCCCCCTGGCTACCGTTGTTTGTGCAGGTATTTTGCAAAGCTGGCATCCGCCATGACAGAGTCATCATTGTCCCCCAGCGCAGCCTGGTAGCGCTCCTGCAGGCCCCCTTTCTGGTTGTCGTGGGAATCGTAGTCGTCGTCGCTCGCTACATCCACCTCGTCCTCGCTGTCCGCCGTCTTGCTTGCACCGGGCTGGCCCACCGCCATGCCCTGCATCATCTTGTCCAGCTCGCGGTCGCGCAACTTGTTCCGCTCCTCCTCCCTCATATCTCGCCGGCGCTGCAGCTCCGGGTAGTAGTCGCGCATGAATTCCTGCCTCTTGTCCTCGACGGCGGCGAAAAAGTCATCGACACCCGTGCCGAGGCGCGAGCTGACGCCGACCATGCTGAGGTGCGAGTAAAACTCCTCGAGCATGAGGCTCATCGAGTTGAGCAGGCTGCCCATGTATCCGCTGCCGCCATGCCCGCAGCCCTCGACGCCGCCCAGGGCATCCGAGCTCTCGTCTCGCTGCAGGGCGTCCTGAAAGGCCTCAAAGTCGGTCATCCAATCTTTGGCAAAGGAGGCGTCCTTGACGTCTGTCTTGTTGAAGACGAGGATCATGGGCAGCTTGGTCTTGTAGAGGATGGAGCAGGCGTAGAGCATGTTGGACATGAATGTCGACGTCGACGTGGTGCGCGGCGTGTCGATAATGTAGGCAATGACGGTGGGAAAGGACGAGGCGAGCGACTCGAGCAGGATGGTGCCTGAGGCGGACCACACAAAGACCTCGATCTGGCCCGGGGTGTCGACGAGGACCGTGTCGATGGGCTTGCGCTCCGGGTTGTCGGCGTCGGGCTTGGCGCGCTTCTCGAGCAGGTTGACAATCTGGTCGACCTTTGTGGCAAAGAGGTTGAGCGACGTCAGGATGCCGCCGTTGGGCCCCAGGTTGTACTGCTTCATGACCTCTTCGTAGTTGACCGAGTCGCGGATGTCGATGTTGGAGTCAAAGGGGACCGAGAGGACAGCCGGGTCGAGGTTCATGACGTAGGGCGGTTTTTGCTGCGAGTGGAGATGGGCGTTGATGCGCTGCATGAAGGTCGTCTTGCCGGAGCCTAGACGGACGAGGTCAACGATGCCCTTGTATGACAGAGCAAAGACAGCCGGAGAGGCATCAAAAGAGAGGGCTCACCCGCCATGCCGACGCAGACAATGGCCACGGGCGGCGAGGCCTGGACATCGGCACTCGACGGAGACGCCATCGAGGGCAGCGCTTAAACTGGCCCTACGGCGAGAAGCAGGTGAGCCGAAGAATGATCACGCGCGGAGGAGACAGGGCGTGGTGGCGGGCGAGTGTGTTGTGGATGAAGATGTCTTGGTCCGAAATTTTGATACGCGATTAAGAGGGACGAGGTACTTCGTACACCCTGCAAATAGACCCCGCCAAGCAAGGCCCCCTGTCCCTCTTGTCTCCAGAGGCCGAGGCCGCCAAGCCCACCGTCGCGATAGCATCATCAACCTGCATGCGTTCTTCGTCTCCCTCTCTCGCACTCTCATCAACCTATATCAATACAAGCGTCGCCGCCGTCAACCGTCGGCCCCTTCCCTCGCATCCAGCCCTATCCATCCGTGCCGCTGCTGCGAAACGTGGCGCACAGCGCGGCGTAGTGGTGCGTCAGGTCCAGCACGTTCTGCGGCAGGCTCGTTGCCTGGATGATGCTCCGCACCTTGACCGCGCCCTCATCCTCGATCAGCGTCCGGATCGTGTGCAGCAGCTGCGGACTAAACTCGCTGTACCACCGATACTGCCACGTCACTAGCCGGATGACCGACGCAATCGTCTCCCGCGTGCTCTTGTTCCTCTCAAACACCCGTAGCACCCCCGCCAGTGCCTTGGGGCTGAAGCGGAGCGTCAGACACGCCCGGTAGGCCTCCACCGCCTCGTCGCTGTGCTGCAGCCGCTCAGCCAGCGCCCCCAGGATCTCCCACTCCTCGGCCGATTTCTTGTAGTGAATCTGCTGCGCCCGATACTGCGCCATCTGCGTCCGCCAGATGGTGTACACCCGCAGGTCCTCGTACAGCACCATGAACAGGCTATCCAGCCATCGCTCGCATAGCCGCTTGGTGTTGAGCCTCGATGGATGCTCGTCGTCTGAAAGCGCCTGCCGCAGCGTCAGCCCCTGCATCAACCGTGTCCTCCTTGGCGTTTCCTTACATTTTCGCTGTCCGCCTTGACCTCCAGCGGGCTAGCCGTATTCGACGGCCTCTCCAAACCATTGCTTTTGCCGTTTGTTGTCAACGTCTCGGCAGGCTTGTCCGGGGGAGGCTCCTCGTGCTTTTCCTTCCTGTCCTCCTCCTCGTCCTTGTTTCCCTCCTTCTCGTCGTCGTCGCCGCCCCCGTTCGCCCTGGGGTCTGGCGTGCCTCTCAGGCCATCCAAGCTGGGCGTTCGCTTCGACGGGGCAGGATGGGTGGCCTCTTGCTTCTCCGTCCTATACTCGTCCTCCATGACGAAGACGGCACTGCGAATCTTGAGCAGCTGGTCCCAGCCAATCTTGGCAGTCATTTCCGTCAGGATGCGGTAGGCCTGCTTAAATGTGCCCCGGTAGGCCGCTGCCCTGAGACCCAGGAGGCTGGGGTCAACCTGCTCCGAAAACCTCGACTCCGGCTCGCTGTCAATGTCGTCCAGGCGCGTGTCGGAAAGGATCGGAAGGTGGACCTCCCTGGGCTCGGGCATCAGGGGCGTGTCCTTGTCCTGGTATGTGAACATGGGGCATGAGTTGAGCGTCGTGAGCGCATTGTCCCAATCCTCCATGGCAACGTAGACCTCGGCCAGCCTCGCCCATGTCCCAAACTCGCTCGGAGCCGCGACCGTGCTGCGGTCGGCGCAGCCAAGCGCCATCCTCAGCCTCTCCTGCTTGAGCTCCGGCGTCGCTGCCTTTTGGGCCTTTTTGAGCAGAAACTCGGCCTGCGTGTCCAGCATGACATAGTCCATGGGCGACTCCTGCAGCGACTCATGCAACGTCTTGATCCCGGCCACCTCCTCGTTGCCCATGAACAGCACCTTTGCCAGGAGAGACGCGACCTCGATGCTCTGAGAGCGGAGCTTTTCGAAGAGGTTGATGCCCGATGCATAGCGGCCCGTCGTCTCAAAATACTCGAGGAGCCCCGTGGTCAGGTGGTTGGAGACGTTGGTCGGCACCTGGACCACCGAGTCGGATCCGAGTTGCCATCCTAGTGCGTTTAGCTTGGAAGCATCAGGCATGGGCACCCTGAAGTACCTCGGAAAAAGAGCTGTTCGGCAGCATTGAGGAAACGGTGCTCGGTTTCCGTGTTGGTGACGGGGTTGAACCTTCGAACTCCGACAATCTTGCGAATCGTGTCGCCGCTGCCGTTGTCGGCGTACGAGTATGCTCTCAGGACGCTGCACAAATATGTCTCGAGCCAGAGATCGTCCGACGCTTTACGCTTCTCACCCCGCTCATCCACGCAGTAGCTCTCGACGGTGCCGGGGATGGAGACGTGGACGCGCATGTCTAGTCGCGAGAGCGCATTGTAGCAGCTGATGAAACGCGGTCAGCGCAGTCAACCTCGCAGGTGTGGGGAAAACGCACCAGTACACGCCCTCGACAATCTTGGACGTCGCGCTGGGGCCATTGTCCTGGTAGGTGAGGGTGTTGATGTAGGCGGCGAGGCTCGCCGAAGACGAAGCGTCGACGCCGGTAACGTGATGGTAGATGCCAGTCTAAAGACTTATTAGAACGTGTTACTTGCCAGTCCCGGGCGAATTTTACCTGTCTCGCCGTGTTTCGTACGCTCTGCTTGAGGAGGTGGACGAGGTCGGGAGGGCCAAGCTCTCGCAGAGCAACGAGCGACTCAGTCCTAGCGTCAATGGATTCGTGTAGGACCTCTTCGGTCAAGCTGTGCCACAATCAGCATTGACACGCGAGAGCTGTCTATCCTTGGCCGGACTTACTCGGGCACTGCTGGCGCAACCATTGCGGCGAGGCGTTTGTCGAGGCCGGGCGCAGTGCGAAAGGCCGCCGCCGGTAATGAAATTGGCGGGGGATGTCAAGGCTGCGAGCTTGACCGCTGACCGGCCGTATCGACTCGCACGAAGAGGGCAAAGAGGGAGGCTGCTAGTCGAAGCTGGAGCTGCGTCAAGCGACGCACGAGATGGAGTGGGTTGCGAGAGCTCGCTTGGGGCACTCCCAAGATTGCTGACCCGACCAGAGTTGGAGATGAAGATACATCGCATCGGCCAAGGTACCGCGCCCGATACCAGCTCCAACTTTACAGTGGGGTGTTTGCGCCCTGCGGGCACCTGGGCTGCTGCTGCTAGCACTGTACCCACCGCGCTTGTGAGGCAGCCCCCATGGTGCCTGCGCCCCAGCACACGTGGCACTGGCGTCTGTGGCCGGCAGCTACGAAGTACAGGTACTCTCGGTCGCGAGGCTGCCATTTCCTTCAGCACAATAACGCCAGGCTCGCCTCACGATTCCGCCAAAGCCCACGATTCCGGGAGACATCGTCGGCCACAGACATGCTCGAGCCTCGTCCCGCCAACCCCCGACACGCATGACGGCTTCCGAGCCAGCTCTTCTGCCGCGACAATGGTACGGCCCTCGGCGGTCCGGCAGCTGCCACCCCAGACTAACCAGACTCAACAGCCGGCCTTCCAGGCCATCAACCTCGAGCCGGAGGAAAACGTCGACGAGCAAATCGACACCACCAAGGAGCTTCACGTGAGTCTGCGTCATCTTCCGCGAAATCACTGGCGCTTCTGTTCTGACAAGCCTCCCAGGTCGACGAGGCGCTCAAGCGTTTCCAGACGGCCCTGAAGCTCCACGCCCAGGGCCCTCGAGCTCGCGCGGCTGCCGGTGAAGCCTACCAGGATTTGTTCCGCTCTGAAATCTTCACTTACCGAGAGGCCAAGACCGACTACGAGCGAGCCGACCGCCATGCCGACGCTCAACCTGCAGACTCACCCCTCGAGCCCTTTGCAGCCGGACTCGACATCGAGGCCGTCGGTGGCGATGGCGTTGTCGACAGCCTCTCCCAGGCGCTCTATCTCTCGTACAAGAACTACGGCCAGTTCCACTTGGACAAGCTCAAGGACCAGATAACGTTCGATCCGCAATGGAGCAAAGCGCGCGTACGCTATCGCGACGACGAGGGCAAGCCCATCATAGACAACTGGATGGCCGCCCTCGACCAGGACCCTTCAGATCCCGAGTTGTGGAGGCGCACGGCCCGCTTCGCCGGCTCCATGAACAGCGGCAGGGTAAAGCGGTACTGTCTTGAGGCTGCCGTCGAGCTGGACGACGATCCCGCCGCCATGGATGTTGAGCCTCCCTCTCTCGCCGAGGGGCTGGCCGGTGAACAGCTGAAAGACTACCTTCGCACCCTCGACGATGCTATGGCTCTTTCACACCCCATTATGAAGCCATGGCTCAACAAGCAGGTGCCGACCTTTATCAGACGCCACTTGGATCCAATCCCCTTCCTGCCGGATCCAACCGCAGATCTGACTCCCCCTGTGGACCGATCGGGCAACGATGAGACTCTATCCGATGCGCCCACCCTCAGCGCCGACTCTCAGGACCGCGACGATGAGTCCCCTGCAAAAACCGTCTCGTCATGGCCTGAGCTCGGGTTGAAGCTGATGAAATGCTTACAAGACACCAGCGGTGCCTTGCGAGCCTGTCAGTTGGTGCGAAAAGCAGCTCAAGCCCCAGAAGTGTGCTCGGAAGAAAGCGGCGAGCAAAAGAAGCCCGATGACCAAGACAAACCGCTCGACTCCGAAGAGCGCGATTCTAAGGACAGGCCCAAGACCAAAGGCCCGGCAAAAGATGGGCAAGCGTCCAAAGTCGCAAATGGCGCTGCCAAGGCTGCCGAGCAGTTCCAGAAGGAGCGCGAGACATCGGCTTCGACCCGAAAACGCTCGCAATCTGTTGCTGGCTTGCCCGATGGAGCGGACGAAGACAACGGGATCGAGAAGAGAAGCAAAAGGGTGCGCAGGAGAACTGACGTCAAGGAAGCCGAGGAAACGGCCGATCCGAGCTTGCTCATCGCGAGCCAGCTCCAGCCCTACCAGGACGCTGACTTGAATCTGTTCCGGTTGACCAAGAATATCCTGGAAACCCTGGGCGTTGATGACCGCGATACGCTGGATTTCCTGCAGGAACTTCTCGACTCGTGCGCTGTTGAAGATCGCACCTCGAATATCACTAATTTGGGCGCAAAGGACTTGCGCAGCGTCATAGCCGCCTTCAGCGAGGACACGGCCATGGTTCTCCTCAACAAGAAGGAGCAGGCGACCTTGGGTCTCTCGTCATTCCTCGAGCATGCCAAGACTGGATCTCAGGAAAAGCCCAAGCTCCCGGCTTTTGTCGAAGACCACGGGCTGGTGGCCTTCACTGACAGAATCTCCCAGTGCGCCTCGTGGATGACCAGCGACGACATTACTTTCGAATGGGTACGAGCCGTCAGCCAAAGCTATGCGACCTCTACTTGGTCAGACACCATGAAGGTGACAGTGGTGCAGATGCTTAACCGCGTCGACGCAGTCCTGTACGAGCGCATCTCCGGCTGCTTGGAACTGTCGCCTGCTTCCCCCGAGAAGCTTGCGAGCCTGGAAACGATGATAGCCATGCTATTTGAGCTCCATGTCGACATCTACGAGAGAATAACAAACCCAAGCAGTGCTGTCGACTACGCCACGCGCATGGAGACCAAGTACCGATTGGGCCGGTGGATGGACGTCGCGTCGACATATATGCACCTTGTCGACCGGTCTGACAGCGACCCCCTCTGCATCCGCTTCCTGTGGGCGTCCATCATGACATCGTCGCTGGCAGACAGCCCGGTCCGTGAGCACATTCTTCTCCTGTGGACCTCCATCCGTGACTTCTTAACTGCCGAGGGCGTTGACCAAATCAACCTTCCAAACAATGTCGTTATGCCATCGATATCAGCTGCAGCCGCCGACCGCGAAATTTCCAAACTGACGACCATGGACTTTTTCCTCGGCCTGTTCCAGGAGGAAATGGAAGATCCTGTGCAGGTCATTGAGACGCTGGAGCCTGTCCTGAACCCGTCGTCTGCATATACGTCTGCAGACGGTGCAGGGAGCCCGGAGGATGCCGCATCGTCTCCTTTGTCGAGGGAAGGACGACATGTACCAGTGTCGAAATGCGCAACGCAGGGCCTCCGTGATCTATGGAAGTTTTTGTCGAGCAGCAGCACGGAGCTGCGACTCTTCTTGTGGTCACGGCTGGGAGATGCGTATGCGGCCATACAATATCACACGAAGCAGCTTTCTTGCGTCCTCAAGAGTATCGAGATGATCATGGCCGACCTTGCAGGCGAAACCTACGTCGAAACCCCAGACGAGTCGAGGAGGCTCCTCTTCATGAGGACCTTGAAGTCTTTGGACGAACTGCTCATTGAGGCACTGTCAATGGGGCTGAACGAAGGCGACGCCTTTGAGATTATTGACCAGGACCACATCAGGTCCAGCGCCAGCGCTCTGGCCAAGCTGGGCGGCATCCTTCACATTGCGTCGCTCTGCGAAGATGAGGCTCGCATCGGCATCACTGCCGCACCGTCGAACAATGCCACTTTTACGTCCTTGGTCAACAAGTTGCGACAGATGCAGGTCCGCATCTGGTGCATGCAGTATACCTTGTTCAAGGCCGGGCTTCCTCAACAAGATGGCGTGTTGTCTCTTGAAAATGACCTCGCTGACTTCCTCGCCACGGTCCACAAGGCCATCGGACTCCGCAAGTTCTGCAAATCGTCCAACAAGATCTTCCTCAAGATGATGCGCATAGAACTTCTTCAGTGGAACGACATTGAAAACTGGGAAGACCACTTGGGGCAGGTGCTCTACGACTTGCACGGACTGAAGCTCGGAGTCGGCGTGTGGGAGGTGCAGGACCATGGTTGCGCGTACGACAAGCTCGAGAGGCGGCAGGCCATGCAGCTTGTCGAGAAGGTGATGATTTTGGCCCATCGCATGCCAATGAAGGACCTTCTCAAGTCCGACCTCAAGACGACAATCGAGCACTTGCAGCAGGCCATCGGCCAGACCAAGTCGACGCCGCAGATGATTCACAACCTGCGCAACTTTACCGAGATATTGAAGAAACCGATCCATCCCCTGCGTCTGTACCAGGCCCTTACTGGAGGTGTGTCGGTGGACGCGGTCGGCGTCCACATACCAGAGGCGGGTCTGGCTAAGCATGGGTGGTTCTTTCTGCTTGGCATGATTGCCTTGACCAAATTTAAGGGCGTGGACCTGAACCGTCGGCAGACTCCAGGGGCTACAGACGACCTGCGAATCGGCGCGACTTTTCTGAGGCTCCAGCTGCAGTTCACCGCCGACGACTGGCAGGCTTGGTTTCGGCTGGCCGAGTGTTTCGACTACGAGCTCGACGAATCGGTGTTGTGGACGGCGGACAAGATGAACAAGGATCGCGCGGAGCTGGTCAAGTTTCAGCGAAACGCGATCCATTGCTATACGCTTGCTCTGTCGAATTCGCGGCACGCCGACGTGGATGTGAGTGACGGAGACGCTTTGCACGATTTATACCACAAGTTTGCCATGCGCCTATACTCGTCTAGCCGGGAGCCATTTGCCATGGAGCCCTTTGAACACTCGGACCAGGAGAGATTCTTCATCGAGACTATGGGAGCCGGCACGTTCAAGAGGATCCTGCACGATCAAATGTCCGAATACAAGGTCTGGAAGTTGGCGGCCAAACTTTTCAAAATGGCCATGGCCAGGAAGCCTGATAACTGGATGTAAGTGCTCGCTTCCTCTGTCTGTCGAATGCCGCTCACTGTCGAACAGGAACCCGTATATGCTTGCCAAGTGCTACTGGAAGATGTACCAGACCCCGGCAGAGCGATTGGACAAGACAGATCAAAAGACGCCGATCACCACCGAGCAGCTCCTCGAGACGCTCAAGATGTCCGTCGAGGTGGCGACAAACGCGCGCAAATCCCGCAACAGCGACCCCATTTTGGAGCCGCATTACAAGATTGTTTCCATCTTGCACAAGCTGGTCACCCGCGGCGACATGCCTGCGGCAGACGCGGCCTCGAACCTCTCGGAGCAGCCGTTTGGGATCCCGGTCAACCCAGATGACCATTACGCTGCCTTTTCTGAACCGGAGGACTGGGAAGAATATGTTATTCGCAACTTGACTCGACTGCGGGACAAGGACAAGTCCAACTGGCATCACCGGATCGTCATGCGACATGCCAGGATCCTCTTCGAGGAGGGCAATGCAGCCGGGGACGGCGATTGCTTCGTTGAAGCCAAGGCGGCTTTCGCCATACTCAAGGAGAACATGTTCACTAAAACGATGGTCATGAGTGTCTGGAAGTGCGACGCCGAGCGGCCTGGCCGCCATCACGTCTTTACGGAGCAGTACGTGCGGTTCATGACGGGACTTCTCCTCATCATGTCTGACCGAGTAAACCTGGAACTGCTCCTGCGACGTCTTCGGAAGAAGGGTGCCGACTTTTATCATTTTACCGACCTTTGGCAGTCGTGCTGCCTGGCGTATCTGAAGCTCCTCCGGACGGCGCACAGAGTTCGCGCTGCCTCCGAGGACGCGTTCAAGTCGCTCCCGAGCGAGGAGTTTGAGATTTTCAGCGAAAGGATCACGCAGTGGGCAGCCGGCGAGGGGCCGCACATTGCAGAACTCAGCTGCATGAAGGAAGCAGTCGAGCTGAAGAAGCTGAATGCCAACCTGATGAAGGTGGCGCCCATTGACGATCTGATCAACGACTGCTACACCAAGATCTATCTCGAGGTTGCAAGCAAGTTGCCCGGCATGGAGCCCAGCAAAGTCATTGCAGAACGCAACCATGCAAAGGAGGTCGCTGCCGAGCTGGAGGCGATTGCTCAAGCGGAGTCAAAGCCGCCCAGCTCGCTGAGCAGCATCTTGAATCCGCCCAACGGCCGAGAGGGTCAGGCGGGAACCTCGACGCCGAATGATGTCGAAAAGTCTGAAGCGGCGCCGCGGGGCCGAAGAACAGTTAGGAGACCTGACGTCCTGCGTAAAGCCGAGCAAGCCGTTGTTCGCTCCCTGGAAGCACCCAGCAAGTCGCTCGTCTCGAAAAGTCGGGTCGGCAGCGTGTCGAGCAAGCGCGGCAGTCAGACGCCGGCCGTGGCTATGAGCGAGGCCGGCAGCAGCGACCTGGATGATGACGAGGGGCCAGACGCGCAGGTGAGGAGAGAGGCTGGAGAAGATGGCGACGAGGAGATGAAGGACGCAGATGCCACCGAGGAAGCCGGCGACGACGAAGACCACGGCGACAACCGGGCAGAGGGCAAGGACGACACGGAAGCAGGGAGCATACACGACTCTGCAGACGACGAGAGCGATCTCAGCGACGTGCCCGAGGGATATGACGAAGAAGTACCACCTGGTCTCATGTTTCCCAATTTGGGGCGCCCCGATCACAGCGCCGAGGCAAGCGGGGAAGAGGCCGACAGCGAGAGCGAAGGGAGCGATGCGGATGAGACTGAGGAGCAGGAAGAAGAAGACGAGGATGGTCACGGTCACGACGGTGAGGAGCACGAGGATGAAGGTGAGGATGACGAAGACGACGGTCAGGAGACGGAGGAGGCAGAGGAAGTAGAGGTGGGGGTGGAGGTGGAAGTCGAAGACGAGAACGGCGACGACGGCGAGGCCGAGACGGAAGACGAAGACACAGAGATGGCCGAAGCCGACGCGGTTGAAGCGGCGGTCTACGCGGAGCCTGACGGGTAGAGCATACAGAGCCGTGCCAGAAGAACTTGACCGAGCTCGGTCTTTGTTTATTTATTTTTCCAACACCGTGAGGACAGGGGCATCTGGAGTTGGCCTGGGAAGGCCTCTGGCTGCGAGGAGTTACCAGGCACTGACTTGTGTGCATATATTTTCTTTACTCAGGACGCTGTGCGAACAGTAAAGCCAAAGTGAATTTGTTAGACACCGGCAGCCTTGGCGAAGCTTCCACTCGACTGCAGCTCTAATTACTAAAAGCCTGCGTTCCTGACCAAGAAAGAAGCATTGATACCCACAAGTTCAGCCATGTCGTCATCTTTCCCCGAGGATGGCTTTGATCCAGCGACTTTGGCCCCAGCCTCTGGGCGATTCGACGAGGGCGGCATATGATGAGGCGCGTTGGGGAGTTGCAGGGCTCTTTGCAATCCCGCCGGCAAATTCCAAGTGAGGATGCAACGCCGGAACGCGCGGAGGGTCGGCAAAAGGGACTGGAGAGAGTCATGGGCACGCGGGACAATGGGTGGATTCCGGGGGAGCTACGGCTCGGACGCGGGATGGGCTCTGTGCGTACGGGGTGGAGTTAGATGGTATGGTAAGGTGGCTGGGGTTGTCGAAAGTCTAGGTGGAGCTGGACACGGATGGATATGGGCAGGCGAACGGATTCAAATATGCATCTGTTCATGGACGGTAGCTTTGAAGCTGAAGACCTCGTGGAAGAGTGTGCGGTATTCACGGGCTGGCATCGTCTTGCTTGTGTAACTGCGTCGTTGGCTTTTCGGGAAATGGCTCTTCTGGAAGTGTCCTCGCATGTGGATCCATGAGTTATGTCGTGTCTATTATTGCCATGGGACCGGACTACATATGGCTATATGGAGTATATATAGACCGCGTACCAAGAGGTCACACGATGAGGAGCAGTCAACTTGTATTACCGACACGCAGTTGATGGGGATTGAATCAAAGGACGCGCCAAGGGTTATAAGCATGGATAATCAAGTAAGAATCGAGTAAGCCGCCGAATCAGAACGTCCAGAACCCGCCGACTCATCGAACAAGAGCGCAGACTATTTCACAGCGCGTCCTAGGAATATTGGCGGGTCGGGGAAATGGACGTCGAAAGCGCCCCTCTGGTCCGGAAGGAGGGGGGGGGGGGTGGTGCAGTCCGGACCCGGTGCAACAGCATATTACGAGCGGTGATGAGGTTTCTCTTACGTGAGGCGCGGAGTAGCTTGTCTGGAGCAACAAGGTAGTCGGGCCCGTTGGGCGTGGGTGCGTTGCTGTCATGGACTTGCGTGGGATGAAGTGGTTGGTTTATATAGAGCCGTCTTTTACGTAGACCCTGGTCTTTGTGGCTGGCTGGGTTTCTGCGGTCGAATCCTTTCCTGCCTTGGGGTCTCGTCATTGCTCGTTTGATAGACAGAGCTTCGTCTGGTCGAGCTTTGCGTCGGGACGAGTCAGCATGAGACTCGGCATTGGGTTGCTCGCGCTGGGCGGCGCGCTTGTGGCGGCATATCCCCTGTCGATGGGGCCGGTCGAGATTGTCGAGCCGGTATCATCAGGTGCGCAGCTGTTTCCTGAGTTTCTGTAGTTCTGTATCAGGGGATGAGTGGTTGTCGAGATATCTGAGGGCTGCCAGGGACAACATGAGAGTGGCGGGGAGAAGGAGAGCAAACACATACGCTCCTACATCCAAGTGATGAGAAGGGAAACGGTGGAGAAACAAGAGAAAGAAAGCGCTTGCCCATCAGCCGTTGCTCTGTTCATCTCACTTACACAAGGCTACCACCATCCAAGCACAAACCCAGCTAACACGACAGCCAGACCTCCTGCAGGACATCTACACCTTCGCGGCCTTCACGCGCGCTGCCTACTGCGCCGCCAACCACGACGGCACCATCGGCAACCTCGTGTGCAGCAACAACGCAAACGCGGGCGCGTGCGACGTCTTCGCCGGCGCGACCACGATCGTCGAGTTGACCGACTCGGCCGAGGTGGCCGGCAACGTTGTCGTCAGCCACGCGCGCCGCCTCGTCGTCGTCAGCTTCCGCGGCTCCCACCGCTGGTCCGACGTCTGGCGCAACATCCAGGTGCTGCGCGTCGACGCCCCCGCGCTGTGCGCAGACTGCTCTGTCCACAGGGGCTACTGGAATGTCTTCCTCAACATCCGGGACAGGCTGGCCGGGGCGCTGCTCGGCGAGGGGAGGCTGGCAGGGCCGGGGTATCGGGTTGTGCTGACGGGACATTCCATGGGCGGCGCGCTGGCCGCGATTTCGGCGGCGTACCTGCGCAGCCGGGGGCGGAGCTGCGATCTCTTCACCTACGGCGCCCCGCACGTGGGCAACCAGGCGCTCGCCGACTTGATCGGCGGCCCCGGCGGCGTGACGGCGCACGTCGTCAATGGGGAGGATCCGATTGCGTCGCAGCCGCCCCGGTCCATAGGCTACGCGAGCGTGGTGCCAGAGTACTGGTTCGAGGCAGGCATCGAAAAGCCCGCCTTCCCGGACAACCTGCGTGTGTGCGACGGCGTGAACAAGAAGAGCGACGAGTGCTCTGCAAAGGTGGGCGGCTGGCTCCCCGTCTTTACGGGGGGGCTGTCGGACCACTCCATCGACGCGTACAGCAACCGGTCGATGCCGTGTCCGGGGGAATAGACCGAGTTGTTGGTGACGGGCTTTCTCGCAGAGTGGACATGTCCCTTCCTGTACATGAATAAACGGTTTTCATCATGAATCTGTGGGCTTTGAAGTAAGCGAACCCATGGCAGGGTGCCAGTGCTGAGGCGTGTCAAGTTGACCCAAACGACATTTCGCATGGAACTATTGTAAGACTAGGTATCAGACGCAGCAAATGAACGGGGATAGAGAAAAGCAGAGACGCGACTATGCACCCTCATCTCTATCCATGTTATCTCGTCGCCTCTTCTCAACACCCTTGCCGCGCTGGCCCTTTTTGCTCTGGGCGTCAGCCATGTTCCTCATCTCCACCCTGGCGTGTCGTTGCGCCTCCTCGACTCTGTTTTGGAAGGCCATGACCTCTTCCTTCTCGGCCGGGTACGCGTCCAGCTTCTTGCCCATGGCGGCTTCTATCCTCTGGAACGGCTCAATGTCGTACTGGGTCACCAGGCTCAGGGCGACGCCCGCCTTGCCCGCCCGCGCTGTGCGGCCGACGCGGTGAATGTACGTTTTGGAGTCCTGGGGGGTGTCGTAGTTGACGACCACGTCAACCTTTGGAATGTCGAGCCCGCGCGAGGCAACGTCGGTGGCGACGAGGATGTCGCGGGTGCCGGACTTGAACTTGTTGAGGGAGCCCAGTCTGGCCGACTGTGACAGCTGGCCGTGCAGGGGAATGGCGCCGAAGCCGAGCGTGCGCAGCAGGATGGCTACCCTCTGGGTCTCCCACACGGTGCGGGTAAAGACAATGGTGGACTTGCCGGCAAACTCGTTGACGAGGTAGATGAGATACGTGTCCTTCCTGACCTGGGGGATGAAGAGGAGGTGTTGGATGAGCGTCGCCACCGTCTGGTACTTGTTGAAGCTGATGCTGATTTTGACAGGGTCCCGCAGACTGGCGCGCTGCAGGCTCTCCACCCTGGAGCTCATGGTGGCCGAGAAGAGGTAGGTGCGGCGCTCGCGCGGGATGAACTTGAGCAGCTTGTCGATGCTGGGCCCAAAGTCCATGTCGAGCAGCCTGTCGGCCTCGTCCATGACGAGGAACTTGAGCGTGCGCAGGGAGAAGCCCTTTGTCTTTTCCAGGTGGTCGACGAGCCTGCCGGGAGTGGCGACGATGATGTGGGGCTTCTTGCCGAGGGCAATGGCCTGCGGAACCATGTCGAGGCCGCCGACAATGACGGCGCAGCGAAGGGAGATGAGGGAGCCGAGGGCCTCAAAAGCCTGGCCGATCTGGGCGGCGAGCTCGCGCGTCGGGGCGAGGACAAGGCCAAAGAGCGGCTGGGGCTTGTCGAGCAGGACCTGGAGCATGGGTAGGGCAAAGGCGGCCGTCTTGCCGCTGCCCGTCTCGGCGAGGCCGATGATGTCGCGGCCCTCGAGGGCGACGGGGATGGACTTTTCCTGGATGGGCGTCGGATGCTTGTAGTTGAGGGCGTCGCAGGCGTCGCAGAGGGAGTCGACGATGCCCTGGAAACCAGGGGTCAGCGATGTATGCGCAACGTTGGGTGTTCACGGGGCCCTACCAGGTCTTTGAAGGTCTTCTGGGCCTCGACCGGCTCCTCGGCCGGTACGCCGTCGAGCGTGGCCGATTCCTCGGTCGACCCTTCGACAGAGGCGGCGGGTGCACTGGGCTCGGGGGCGCACGCCTTTTTGGACACGCCATGCGAGACCTTTCTCCTCTTGACGTTGCTCATCTTGAAAGAGCGTAGTTGCTTACGATATCGAACGGACGGGCTGCCAGCCGAGGACTTTTGACGGATGAAGATGACTTGAGTCCTCGATGAAGTAGTCGATTGCGGTTTGAGTGTTTGTTGAAGGCCATGGCACAAGATATAAGTGTCATGGATTTGCGCCATCTCATGGATCCGTCGCCATCTTTGGCCTAACGAAAAGTTTTAGCGGGGCTGCTTATCGCATGTGACTCGGCGCTCTTGTCGTCCGGCCCCGCCCAAAAAAATTCTTATCCTTCGGGTTTGCCTGCAGCTTGGAAATCTTCAGTCCCGATCGACGCCTTGCCTCTTGAAATCGCCAAAGAGCAAAGACGAGAGCTGAAACAGGGCCAATGGCGCGCAGACGATCAAAGAAGAGAACCCATGTCGGGGCCACCAACCCGGAAACGGACCCCGTGGGCCGCGCCTTGGCCAGCGACCCCAAGAGCATGGTGATTCGCATCGGCGCCGGCGAGGTCGGCTCCAGCATCAGCCAGCTCGCCGCCGACGTGCGGAGAGTCATGGAGCCCGGCACGGCGAGTCGCCTCAAGGAGCGGCGCGGGAACCGTCTCAAGGACTACCTCGTCATGTGCGGGCCCCTTGGCGTCACGCATATGCTGCTCTTCTCCCGCTCCGAGAGCGGAAACACAAACCTGCGCCTGGCTGCGACGCCGCGAGGGCCGACGATGAATTTCCGCGTCGAAAAGTACTCGCTGTGCAAGGACGTGCAGAGGGTTCAGAAGCACCCGAGAGGCGGAGGCAGCGAGTTTCTCACACCTCCTTTGGTATGCCCTCCTTACTCGGCTCTTTGTCGCGGACGTGACTGACAACCGGTAGCTCGTCATGGATAGCTTCTCGCGGCCCGATTCCGATGCCAAGTCGAAAGTGCCCAAGCATCTTGAATCCCTGGCCACCACCGTCTTTCGATCCCTCTTCCCGCCTATCAACCCGCAGGCCACGCCGCTCAAGTCGGTGCGCAGGGTCGTCCTTCTCAATCGCGAAAAGTCCCCGGCAGACGACGGAACCTTCATCGTCAATTTTAGGCACTACGCCATTACGACGAGAACCGCAGGCGTGTCGAAGCCGTTGCGCAGGATCAATGCCGCCGAAAAGTTCATGACCACCAAGACGAGCCGGCAAAGCAAGATGCCCAACCTCGGCAAACTCGAAGACATTGCCGACTACATGATGGGCGGCGCCAACGGCGACGGGTACATGACCGACGCCACGAGCGGCAGCGAGATTGACACAGATGCCGAGGTCGAGGTGCTCGACTCGGCACCGAGAAGAGTCCTTTCGGCCAAGGCGCGACAGGCAGCGGAGCAGAGCGGCGAGGCTGAGGCGGAACGCGAGGACAACGTGGAGCGAGTTGGGGTCAAGCTGGTCGAGCTGGGCCCGCGCATGCGACTGCGCCTGACCAAGGTCGAGGAGGGACTCTGCTCTGGCAAGATCCTCTGGCATGAGTACGTGCACAAGAGCAGGGAGGAAGTCAAGGAGCTCGAAAAGAGGTGGGAGAAGAGGAGGCAGGAAAAGGAGGCACGTCGCAAGGAGCAAAAGGCCAATGTGGACAGGAAACGGGCGCCCAAGGAGGCAAACAAGAAGAGTGGCGATGGACACGACGAGGAGGGCCGGGACGAGGGTGATGAGTACTACAGCGACATGGACGTGGACGAGTTTGACAGCGAGGGCTTGGAGGGGGACGCGGAACTGCAGGTGAATGAGATGCTAGAGAAGGAAGACGAGAGCGAAGACTAGACGGCGAGGGACTTTGGCTGGGTTGGCATGGCGTTGACGGTTCGGTCTCGAGGGACAGGCGTCGGAAAGATGCTGCTGATTTCACATTGATGTTGGGCGGTGAGGCATTGTTCCAGACTTTATTGGTCTCTGATGAGAAAATTCATGGCCAAGGGTGTTCAAGCGATGAAACTTTGGCTCCGTATGTCTCGGCTTCGATAATTGTCTCAGCCCTCGCTCTTTTGAGCGCGGCCTCTCTGCTTGCTTCAGCCAAGGATGGTCCAACTTTGAGTTGAAGCGGAAGTTCGTTCGTGTTCAAAGGCCAATATGCAATTGTCCAGCGACATTGATATCACCAAATTATACAGAATGATGGAAACAATCCTCCACCTTGATAGTCAGCCGGTGTTTTTAACAAGTTTCAACTATCTATTATTTTCCCACTAGCTTTTGTCTATATGCATCCCCACTTCTCTCGTTCTCGCAGCTTGCACCTTCACCACCGGCCTCCAAGCTCATCCGACTTCCAGCTCCCTGGCTGTCTCGACTCGTCAGAACCACCCGTCAGAGGACGACAGACAGACCGGCATGTTCCGGCAAGTGCCACGGACCCTTGTGCGGACGCGGGCGGTCCCGCGATTCCCCGAACCGCCGCCCCCATCCTCATCATCCTCCTCCTCCTCATCCTCATCCTCATCCTCCGCCGGCCTGCGCTCTGCAACCATCGCCGGCCTATTCGCCATCGCCGGGACAGCAGCCCTGTGGTGGAGCCAGACGCCGCGGCGCATCAAAGTCGCCGAGGCGCCGCGCATCCCCGACGCCGCGTCCGAGCGCGACATTATCGTCGAATCCCCCGTCAAGGTCCTGGGCCTGGAGGCTGCCGACCGCAAGCTCCGAGAGCAGGCGCAGAGCTTTACCTTCCGCAGCGGGCGCGGCCGAAGGGGGAGGGTCGATGTTGTGCGCGTGGCCAGCAACCTACCCGTTGAGGATGAGTGGGCGCTTGCGTGTGGAAAGGGCCTGGGAGGAGGGACGACGCTGTTTGCGGGCGTCTACGATGGACATGCGTGAGTTCTAGGCACATCGCTTAGTGTCTGATCTGTCCAAATGGCGAGCGAGGCTGACCTCGATGTCGCCGCAGCGGATGGGCCACGTCAAGAGTCCTCAAGGACTCCCTGATCCGCTACGTTTCCCACGCCTTGGCTCGCCTCTCCCCGGCCAGTGACGGCGCTACCGTCGACCAGGCCATCAAGGACGCCTTTGTCCGTCTCGACGCCCGCATCATGGACGACGCCTGGGACGCTGCCAACATGGCGAGGGACGACGGCGCCGCCCAAGGCCTGCGCGCCCTGGCCCCCGCCATAGCCGGCTCCTGCGCGCTGCTGGCCATCTACGACCGGTCTTCGTCGACGCTGCGCACCGCTCTCACGGGCGACTCGCGTGCCGTGCTGGGCTCCTGGTCGCCCAAGGCGGGGGCCTATTCTGCCGAGGCCCTCAGCAAGGACCAGACGGGCTTCAACGAGGACGAGGTCCTGCGGCTCGAGGCCGAGCACCCAGGCGAGACGCGCGACATCATCGACTCCAAGACGGGCAGGCTGCTCGGCATGGCGGTGACGCGGGCCTTTGGCGACCACCGGTGGAAGTGGCCCGGCGAGGCCATCGCGTCTGCCCAGGCGCGCTTCTTTGGCTACCCGTCCCGCGGCTCGGCCTACAAGACGCCGCCTTACATGACGGCCCGGCCCGAGGTGACGACGCGCCAGGTGGACTCGGAAGACTTTGTCATTCTCGCCTCCGACGGGCTGTGGGACGTCATGTCCAACCAAGACGCCGTCGCCTGCGTCGAGCGGTGGCTGGCAGCCAAGCGAGCAAGACGGCCCGAGGCAGTGGCCGCGCTGGCGGCAGCGCCCTCGACCTTTACTGTCGGCGCCGACGGATATGCTGGATGGAAGGCCACGCCCGAGCACTTTGCCATTGAGGACCTCGACAGCGCCGCCGTGTGCCTGGTCAAAAACGCGCTGGGCGGGCGGCGTAGGGCGCTCTTCTGCGGCGCCATGACGGCCTACGCGCCCTTGAGCCGCTACGCGAGAGACGACATGACGGTGCAGGTCGTCTTCTTCCGGGACCCGTATATGCCGAACATGGCTCCCGACAGGATATGAGGTGAGCGAGTCAAGTCTGGCGCTCTGGGGGATACCAGACAAGGGGGGCGGTGACCCGTTGGGTGTTTGATGAACTTTATGTCTTCAATTCCAGTTGTCTTCCAGCCTGAATGGCGGGTAAACCGGGAACTACGTGTACACCATTCAGCACAACTTGGAACAAAATATCGGAATGAGAAGCCTTCATCTCGCGGCGTAACTCTCTTCAATTTCAATGCGTCCTGGGTCAATGTTCGAACCGGCCATCATGTTACTGGATAAACACCAAAGGTAGACAAAGTAATTCCCTCCCAGCATTCTCCTCTCTGTGCCATTAGCCGAGAAAACACCCGGCTGTTTCCACCAGTGTGAGAAGTTGAAGTTGACTTTCATCGCCCCCTTGAACATCAATAAGGTAAAACGAGAGACGAGCTTCAAAGGGGATCCTCTCCCTTCATGCCCCTGATAGGAATTGACTCCACGTTCGGGTCGGGCACAAGCTCGCTCGTGGCCCCCCCTTCGCCACCGCCTCTTCCTGTTAGTCGCGGAAGACGCGGATCCGCTCCACTCTGTTGCGCCGAGAGAAGGCCGGCGGGTGGCCGGCGTCCGCAAACGCAGCGTCGGCGTCGTACATGGTGGTCGGCCGCTCTTGCCGAGCATCCAAAGGCGGCCGTCCCACCAGGTGCTTGGACGCGGGTCCGTTGACGGCGGTGGCCTGATCTGGGCTTTCACTCCGCACGTGCAGGGAGTCTACTTGGTCTTCAGGCTCGTCGTCGGACGAGTCGAGGGAGGTCGGCCGGTGCGGGCCTTGTGACGGTTTGTCTGCCCGGGTTCCCAGAGCTTCCTTTTTCTCGGCAGGCTCAGTATCGAGCCCGCTAAGCGCGATTGGTCGGTCCAAGGCTTGGTCGCTTGCCCGATTGTGAAACTGGTTGTCTTCATTATCGTCATCGGACCAATGGGATATGACGGGCTGTTTGACGGCTTCCCGGAGATGCAGGGTCGGTTGTGCTTCCTGAAGATTGGGCTCAAGAGCAGCGTCGTCTGCCGACCACCGCGGCGCGTCTCCCCGAGGAGCGAGAACTGGGCGGTCCTCGAAAAGGTTGTAAGCCTGGTTGCGTGCCGGCGGCCGTCCTGGAAGTTCGCCTCTGGAGTGCAGAGGCGAACTGCTGGCAAAGACGGAAGACGGCAGCCGCGCTTCTTGGACGCGGCTGTGGACGGGCCACGCGAGCAGGCAAAGGGCCACGGTTGTGAGGAAAAGGTTCCAGCCTGAGTGCATCATGGTGGGCGATGCTGGCGCTGTCTAGTCGCAGCAGAAGATGATGAATGGATAACAAGGTTGGGTCTGTCTGTGTCTTTTTCTTTCTCTCTTTCTACACAAGGCAGCTGTCTGATGTCTGGCAGAGCCCATCGTTGGACGATGCGGGCGTCGTGCGATTTATAGACAGGCAGAACGCCGTGGCATGGCATTCAGCCTCTTGTATCACTCCCCCGGGGATGTTGGCCGACGAGAACAGGGCCCCACACGAGGGCCTGGAGAGAAGTGGGCTTGAGAGTTTATGTCGAGTGGTAGCGGAGGAACAAATATCACGATGGGTAAGTCTTGGCGATTCGTTAAATCACACGGACTTTGGGCGACCACGTCACTCAAAGCGGACGAATTCGCGGGATTCGACGACTATAATCGGAGGCAAGGTGGGTTTCCAACGTCGAGACTAAAGGAGCTGGGCGTTTGCAAGCCGATAAGGCCCTGACTGAAACAGACTATTGCGGCTTGCCAAGTGCTGCTGCTCCGTAGCGAGTGCGCCGCGATGTCCTCATCAGACGAAGGCCGGAACGGTTCCGGTTGGAGAACCAAGGGCTGGGCTTTGACAGTAGCCAGAGTTTATCATTGCGTCCATGTGTACGTTCAGGTGTGATGAATTCTTCCTTCAACCATACTTCAGCCCCTCTGACTGCATTGCATGGCTGGTGGCACGAGGATCAGGGCGCAGACGCTCGACGTCCTTGACACAGCCCACTCGACTCGAGGTCCAAGACCGCACTGCAGTCCCTTTGTCCTCTGCCCACGTAGCATGATATCCCCATCTCCCCCAGCCCGCGACCCTGGACCCCAGCCTGCAGCCCCCCATCTCTAGTCCAATTAATATTGTGACGCACCCGTGAGCCGCGATCCTCCCACTGGGCCGGGCGCCTCCGGATCACCCCCTCAACGAGGCCGGCCGCCAGGAGCGGACGGGGTCTGTTGCAGACGGGTCATGAAGCCGCCGACCGGACCCATGAAGCCCCTGATTCGACGAGGGACTCCCAGGTGGGACACCATCGAACTCTCGAATTGTTCGTGGCCTTCCGCTTTGGTGACCATTATGAAGGCTCCGGCGTATTACATGCCTGTCTGCACTCGCTGGCAGTGCTGCTCTGGGTAGCATGAAGGACACGACAGCTTACGCAAAAGAAACTCGGCAGCTTCACGTAGCATCGTCTCTCTGAGTCGACCCCAGTCCCGTGTCCACCCTCTAGTGGTCTCGGTCCGAAACCTTATACTCGCACAACGCCATGCGATTGGACCTGCATCGTATGTAACCTTTGCCCTGCGGAAGCTTCCGAGGCACGTTGGAGCGAATTGGTTTACCCGGCGGCCGGCCCCGGCATCGAGGAGACGTCTTGCGAGGAGGGCCGCGGCGTGCCTGTTACGTTCCACTTTGCTAAACGGCCGCATTATCTGCGTCCGTGCTATGACTACAGAGCCTCGGTGGGCTGCATATAGGTTAATAGCTCGCTACATAATATCCGATAGTCTGAGTCTCTGAGAGGGGAAAGCGACGGCAACCATTCAACAACAGAAGAGGCTGCAGTTGACCGGCTCGATGCGCACAACAACATACACGTACGGCCACATGACCTGAAGCATCCTCACGACATCAATATCACATCTATACACGTTCAGTATTGAGTTGTCCATGCAGCGGCTGAGTTTGGCCTCACGGGATACCTCTCTCGGCGCTCGTCTGCGACCAAGAGGTAAACTCAAACAGCGTTTTCCATGCGCTGCATCGAATAAAGACTCTTCCGCAGAGATCAGAAGTGACAATTCAAGGCAAGCAGTAAAAACGCGGCCGATGACGGTTCGTCCCGAGACCGATCGGCCGCGAAGCCGAGCCTCGTGACTGCAGTATTTCTCGTCGATAGACCCCTGCTTCATATGCCACGGCGGCATATTGAGGCGAAGCCAGGCGTGGAATGTATCCGCAAGCGCATCTGACAAACTATATACCCCACGGAGATTGCGAGGGTGTTGCAGCCACAGATATGGATGAGCTCGTTTGTGGGCAGCGACGGGTCGTCACTCAAGCCGAAAAGGTCCGATTTGCTCATTTGTCTGATCCTCAACTGATCCAGCAGGCTGGATATACATGTACGAGTAGCTCCACAACACTCTACAACCCTAAAGATGTAATCGTTAGCCGGCGTCAAAACCGGGTACTATACGCTTGGAAACGCTACGGGTAATGATATGTCTATGGAAGCACTTGCGCCGAGTTTGCACTTCGACGGGAAGAGCGCAGCATTCGCTGCACCCTTTATTTTCTCAACCTCGCCGTCAGGGCCACGGAGAGGGACAATATCAGCGAGCTGCTTGCTCATCGGGGCAACGAGGACTGTATAGCCGAGGAAGAGGAGCAGCGCTGAGCAGCCTACCTATCAATACGCTGACCACCGACGACGACTTGTGTGTCCGGAGACGGCAATCGAGGGAGTGATGATTGAAGATAAGGAAGAACAGACCAAGGAAGAGGTTCCCTGCTTAATGACTTGAATACGAAGACCCAAAGGGTTTTGAGGACTTTTACCAAGCGGTTAGAATGAGCCGAACAACTACTATGGCAGGCCGACCTCAACCACCATGGTCGTGGCGATTGTATTTCATCCATGCAAGAAGTGGCGCGCTCACGAGAGGCCCTGGGCCCAGGACAGGGTATTTACGCGAGCATCCAAGTATGTATATATGTATGTATGTATGTATGTGTATTTCACCCGGAGGATTTCTCCTATAGGGCCTAGACGTAAAAGCTACTAACATTTCAATATATTAATGCGTAACACCTTAAGCCCCACGGGTTAGCATACGCTATACTAACCTCGCCGCTACTCGCTCCGTGATAGGCCTGCTTAAAGGCCAATTTTACAGTGTTTAGCGTCCTACCTTTAGTAGCTAAAGCGCGGTCTATCGAAATCCGAAGTCGAATACCTATATATTAATATTATTAAAGGTTAGTGCTATAATCGATCCTAAGTAGATTCTTACTTCCGCTACTTAGCCCGAAGGGCTAGACGCTGCCTACGTTTTATCCCTAGGGTTCCGCGCCCGATAGTTCCGGCTATATAATTCGTATAGTCTATCGTAGGGCACGTACTTTAGTACTATCTCCTTATATTCTCTATAGTACTATTCTACTTTCGCGTATTTACTATATCTTTATAGCTTTTTATATAAAAACGCCTTATATCCTATCTTATAATAGTTAAAGTACTAAATCGGTCCTACGCGGCGTTTAAAAATATTAATATAGGCGGACTCTCCTATAATATCGAATTATACGCTATTTAGAAGTCTTTACGCGTTACTCTCTTTAGTAATATAGATTACTATTAACCTATATACTTTAGCTTTCTCTTTATTACTAAGCTAGGTAATCTTAGTAATTATAACGTAATTCTTAGCTCCGAGCGCCTTAGCTACACCTAGTAGAACGTTGCCTTTAGCGTCTAGCACTATAGTATACTTAGTATTATTAACTTTAATAGGGTAAAGCTAATCTCTTAGTACCCTAGCTCTTAAAGTTACCGTCTTTTACGCTACTTCCTTAACCTACTTTAACTCGGTTTAGTCTCTATATAAAATTTTAATCTAGTTAAGGTTTCGAGCGTCTATTATAACCGCTATATATTTCTAAGTCTCCTACCTCTAACTCTTTCTTATATCGCTCTCTATAGCCTTTTAGATATTACCGATCTACGTTTAGCACCTATTCGCTTCTTTAACTCGTAATATATTTACTATATAATAGAGACTATCGCTAACGGCTATTCGTGCCGATTTAGCTACTAGTACGGTGCCCCGGTTTATTATCTAGATCGTCGGCGATAACCTTATAGCGCTCGTATACGATATCTATAGACTACTTTATAGAGAAGATATAAGTATAGCTAGGGTCTCTAACTATACTTAGATATAATAAAGCTTATCTCTTATCTCTTTCCCTTATTAATCTATTTCCTAGATTATCTACTATTACTTAAATATAATCTCGTTTTATATATCTATCGCTCGGCTAAGCTTTTACGTTTCTTAATATAACTCGCTTAAGAGTTCGAGAACTTTCTAGAGCATAGCTCGGCCTTTATTCGCGCTACTACTACTACTAGCAACTTTACGCCGCTTAGTCGCGTTACTAATAGCGACATCGTCCGAGGCAATACGCGTTATAAGCCTAGTTGCGCGTGTTGTCTTCTCCGCTAGATCGTCGGGCTATCGCGCGGCTTCTCGAATTTTAGTGCTTGGCCTCACGACGCGTGTCGATCTTTTCGCGGGTGTCGACGTAGGCGACGCGCTTCGCCCCACCATAATCACGGCCTCAGCCGGCGTCTCTATGATGAGGCCTCTGCCGCTGCCGTACCGTATTTGCAAAGGTGTCTTGGTATTCTGCATCTGTGTGTTAGTTGCGCCCCGTGCCCACTCTTCGAGTGGGTGGAGAAGATTAAGCAACGGCTATCTATTATAGAAATAGAGGGAATCGCCGCACCTAAGCAAAATGACGCCAACCAACCCTGCTGATCTGTGCATCTCCTCTAGATGTAGTAAAGCGCCTTGATTCATGCCCAACGTGAGATTTGCGGAAGCAGGTCCTACCTCTCGCTATTCATAGAATGGGCGATTCATACCTGGGAGCGGATGATTGCGGATAGCTGACAGCCAGGAATAGGACTCTCCATAGATCAGGCAACGATGGATCGACATCTTATATGGCTCCTTGTGCTTGGAGTAAAGGGGGGCGAGATGTCTTAAACCGTTAACGAAGCTTGATCGATTCATACATTCAAGCATTGGTCAATTAGTTTACCCCCGGAAAGCCCGATCGGCTATTCAGCTTCCAGCTATATGGCTTGGCTCTAGACGATCGGCTAACCATAGCATTTATAATCCCTGAGTCACGATAAGGCCTATTCTACATGCTATCATGTTTTGTCCCTATCACCTTCGCATGATCGATGGTCGAAACGCTATCCCAGACGCCGACGAGGCTCTTGCTAAAGGCCAAAACCCAATGCGAGATATAGAAAGCCTTTGGTAAGCGGCACATGGGCGAGAATGCAGTTCTCGTCCCAGGTTTCACCCGGGGCGATAACGTCATTCCCTCGAATAGGTGCCCAAGGTAAGCATAAAAGAAACAAGACGGAGAGAGCGTGTGAGAGCTGCCGCAATTGGATTTCTTGTCTCAAATCTACACAGAAGCCACTGCTCACAGTCCCACGGGGATTCTTTCGAAAAGTTGTTCCCTAATTGGCGCTCACTCTGCATCTGGCCCCTGGCCGAAAAGTTGGCGTCGGCATCAACGGGCACATGGGAGAACGTCGCGGTGACCGTGTAGGCGCGCCCGGTGAGACGAAGCAGAGCTAACGAGGAGGTAGATCTCAAGGGCGGGATGGTTGCGGCCTTGCCTTTCAACCCTCATCGACAGCGTACTGGATTGCTGTTATAGCAGAAGTGTCTTGCGTGTCGGTACGAATGGCTGCCTTCTGAGCAGAAACTCGAGTGATCGGTGAGAAGCTCCATACGTAAATGTACCGTATCGCCGCTCTGCTGTGCCGTCTGGAATGTATCATAGGCCAAATCAAGCGTCTCTAGGCGCTACTGCACGGTCATACATCATTCCGATACTCGTCAGTGCCGGCTTCACCCTATCTCTATAATTTCCCTCTTCTCTTTGGTGCACGAGCATTGCTCATGGCTCAAGTACAAGCTGGCTACTGCTGACGCTTCCACAGTCGAATAGCCACTGTCCCCTTGGGTGACAGTGTCCCGTAGGGCACCCAACGCTCGTCTGCCCTGATCTTGTCCGTCTGATGCATGTCCACGATGTGGCAGTCAAAGTTGCGCAGCAGTAGGCCCAGAGTCCCAATGATTTCGTTCTTGGCAAAATGCCGTCCCAGACACATGCGTTGGCCGCTTCCGTAAGGCATCCAGCACTCCGCCAGGCCCTCGAGGTTAAATGTAGGTGTCGTCTGCCCACCCCTGCTTGTCTTGTCAATTATGAAGCGTTCTAGCCAGAACTCTTCAAGGGGATAAGAGACAGTTGTAGGTCGGGCGTTTGCCTAAGCGGTCGTGTTGTGAGCCGTTATGGAAGAGAATATAGTCAACACTTCACATTTGTCGACAGTATAGTCGGACTCGAGCTTAAAGAAGCTATCCTCGTTGGTGCGAGCCATGGTAGTTTGCACGAGTAACCATAAGAGCTCTGCATATACCGACTACAATAGCGGCTTAGAGCCGAACTTGGAAATATCGAAGATAGTATTAGAGCCTGCTTCGGCTTGGCACTCTTCCAGTTTAGCGTAGAGGCGTCCCAGTAAGTCCGGGTCCTTCAAGGCGTAGAAGATGTACCAGAACACTGCCCGAACCGCATTCGTATTTGCCCTAGGGTACATTTGCTGGTCAGGCCGAGCACGGCCGAGAAAGGGGGGTGAAAGTTGTTTACCCAAACGGAAGTCCTAGAGTCTCTGCGGCAACGGCATCGTCACTTATTCCAGACGCTTGGAGTGTTCTCGGGCCTTGACGAAACGAGATCCAAAGTGCTCATCCCAATCATCGTCTTCAGGGCCATGCCTCATGCAATCCGAGTTTCTGTTGGCGAGCTGATTCCACGCTTGATGTTGGACAGCAGTCGATCGCGCGTCCTCCATGCACTGGGAATTAGCCACCGAGGTAGCCCACACGAGAAATTTGGGACGTGATAATCGAACTCCCAAAAGTTATCACAATCTTAGAATACAGCTCAACGATACGCGAGCCCATTATAGCTTCAATAATAGATAGGGTAACCAGGCGCCGCAGCCAAGTATAGAGATCGTCTACTTCTACCCAGTCGTCGGCATATTAATCGTCCGCTATCTTCGCTGGTTTTCGCTCGAGAATAGCGTAGTAGCGCTTAGTTATAGTTCTTAGGTGCTCGCCGGAAAGGAACCCGATTGCAAGGTTTGCCTGTACGCCAGGAATATGCGGCTCCTTGCTGGCCGCGTAATGATGCATAGTTTCGGAATGGGTTCCAACCATTTCTCCATGACGAAAACCATCATGGGACGATTGGTCAGGAGCTTCGAAGATCGCAGCATAGTGAAAGTACCGGCATAGACCGTGCTTGGGGAACTGTGTTCCCAAGCACGGCTGAAGTTCGCGGGTCAGTCGCCGAGTCTCTACACCGGGATGGCTGACAATGACGTACATCCTGCCAGAAAGCTTGCTATACTCCATCCCAGGCCAACACCATAGGAAATGGCGGGGAGGAAGTAAGGGACTGTGGGCACGCGTCTACCGGCCTTTAGACTCCGTCGAACCCACAAAAAACGAACCAGCAATATCAAGTATATTGACAGAAAGATGGCAAGAAGTGTAATAATCGTAAGGACAAAGGGCGACCCGGCAAACGACTCCGGAGGCAGTCAGGTTTGACGGCCAGCTATGTTCTGAGTGAGAGCTTTGAGCCCGGATTTAATATTCGAGTTGCAAACTTGAGCCGGTTCTTACCTTGATCATTCTCAAGCTCAAGCTCTTAGGGACTGAGCATATTCGCCAATGGCTCTTTAAAGCCGTGAACGAGTTCGTTTATTGAATTTGTTCCATGATCGGACAGGTACAGAACTTTGCCCAAATTTAGAAAGGGAGCGAGGAGTGAAAAAGAAACAGGGACAGCATTCACTTTTCTCGATATTGAGTAAATGCCAATGAGACGAGGGGCGTCGGCCTCTCTTTCGAAGCTCTACCCGCCGCCGGAAAACACTCTGTCGACCAGGCAGCCAGATAGTTGAGTCACAGGCCGGGCGGGATGACGCCGTCATGCTAAATCCCCAACATGCATCCTCGTGGAAATTGAGCCATTTTCCCATTTTCCTTCTCCATTCCAGGGCTGAGGAACGTTTGCCTGCATAAAGGATTGTCTCCCCAGCTCATAGCGGTCAAAGTGGGATGGATTTATGGCGATATCTACGATCTATTGGTCTTAACTATTCACCCATGCAATAGTATCTCCGAGTACTACCATTGAAGTGTTGGGACCGCACACAACGCAGTGTCCTATGGCAGGAAAGCGGGGCCGTCCTGAGCATGCCTTGGACCGCGATGAGTCGCCCGTTGCTAAACCATGGGCCGGTATAAGACTCATGACGGGTTAGCCTCTACGTAGGCTTCAACAATCAAAAAGGGCCTCGTACGTGAGCTGCGTTCAAGGCCGGCTCGTGTAGTCGTTTCGGGGTTCGCCCGAGAAGGGTTGCGGGGCTGCGACAATGTATGTTGGTTCTTGGTCCAGTCTCCGCAGTCTTCATCAGGTCGGGTTAACTCCTGCTCTGGGTAATCTCCGAATATGGGCGTCGACCCCGCCGTGTCGAAACAGCCGGGAGTAGAGAGCCTCATCCGAGCAGGCGTAGAGTAACAACATGCGGGCAAGCCAAGGCCCTCGAAGCTTCTCATATTTATAGGAGGCTTCCGTTCCATGGTTATGATTCAACCGCTTACAGGGGCGGGCTGGTTGATTAAGCTATGAATCGTGACAGGGGAGACTCATCGGCGGGCATTTCTTACCGCCACCAGGCCTGTGATCTGCCGCCTGGTTCGGCTCAGACTCTAAATAGAGCTTGCATAGATTGCTCCGATGATGTGATATAACCCCAATAAGCAGCCTCCTATATGTATAAATTCGGGCCCTATCTACCCGGCCACCCCCTCAGACTATTCGGCCAACCCGCCTTGTGGGGTAGTGTGGCTGGTAGCCGCACAGCGCCGGTACCGCATAATTTGGTGTGCAGATTCCCCGCGCCGCCGCCGCCGCCGCCGTCAACAGCGCCGCCGGCCCTATCAACCGCCGGGAGGACTGCGGCTACAGTCATGAGGGAGGGATTACTATACCTTTTAAGAGCGAGGCGATGTATACGAGCCGGGCACACGTATGCCACGAGGGTACCAACGAGCTATTCGCCGCACGCTAGTCTCCGACGATGAGCTTGGCTGTGACCCATAGACTTCTAACACAACCGAAGCGGCAGCTAAGGAAATATAAGACGAAATCGTTATCGCGATGCCCTTACATCAGCCCTCGCAGGAGCCCTCGTAGGAGGAAGACGTATAGTGGGATAAGATAGAAGAGGCCGTCTAAGACGAGGAAGATATAAAGTCAGCACACCTAGCTTCCGGCACCCCCTACTTCCGGCACCTCCCTACATCACCATCGCGTTGACTACCCACTATATCGTGACCGCGTTTTCTCGTGCATCTCTAATTTAATAATTATAAAATAAATATCATTCGAATTAGCGATGCCTCGTCTTTCTAAATATACCGAAAACCAGCTCTAAGAAGCGCTCGAAGCTATTAATAATAGTATACCTTAGCTCTAAGCTAGTTATAAGTAGGGTATTCTAAGAATAACCCTTTAAACGCGTCTTAAAGGAGCCCTACCTATAAAGGAGGCAAAAGAGGCATCTTAAAGGCTTAGTCGAGAGTAGGAAAAACACCTCTATAAATAGGTTCTTACCTAAGCGGCCCTTAGGCTGCCTCTAACGCATTATTAACTTAGGGAATTCGCCGGCCGTATTATCGTAGCTAGTAGAGACCCCCGCCTGCTTAGAAAACACTAGGTTTCGAGCTTTTTAGCCCGAAACCTAGAGATTAGCACGATTAAAGGTAAATCTCTTAATTCTACCTATATTAACGGCGCCTCTATTAGCGGGATTAAGGAATAGTTTTAATTGCTTAAGCTACTAGCTATATAGGCAATCCTACTAGAATCACGCTTTAATATAAACGAAATAGGCATCCTTAAGGGCCTTAGCTATAATAGGCTAGTACTAGGGAGCTTAGAGAAGAAGGAGGCTATTAAGAAGCGGCTTAGATCGCGTTATTAAACTATAATTATTAAATATATTTTTATAATAAGCTAGGCCTTAACCCCCCTTATAATCTTTAAGGGCTAGGACCTTTAATAGTAATAGTTTCTTAACGAACTCGATTTTCTAAAGGATTAGGACTTTCTTACTTCCTTAAAGGGCTAGATAAGTCTTAAGGTATATAAGCAAAAGCGGAATTTTAGGAAATCAAGGAATCACGTAAGACTACGTGATAGAAGGGAAGAAGGAGTATAAGGTAGGATTTTCAATAGAATTTATTGGTAATGTATTAGTGTGTAGAAGAGGTGTTAAAGTTAATTATTTTTTCTCTATCTACTAGCGGACATACTGTCTTATATAGACAATTGTAGCTGAACGGAAGAACCTTTCGGGACCAGATTTAGGCTGCCGTATAGCCCTAAGACTAAGGAATTTAGTGATACCTCGAGTGTATTAGGAAGTGTCTTGGTTCTACTAATATTTATGTTTAAAGGAGGTTGGTCGTGCCGGTGTTCTTAAGAGGTCTTAGCTAGTATTCTAAGCTAGCTCTATTTCTTCGATTCCCGATTATACGATAACCGGCAACCCGTTTAATGTATAATAACATATAAAATAACGAGCGATTCTTGCTCTATAATATAGGATTTTGTCTATAATTAATATACTACTTATTAGCTTATATAATCGGGAGAGTATATTATAGCTGCTTTACTTATAGTAGGAACACCGTTCCTTATAGCCTCCCTTAAAGAGTAGATTTATATACTCTTTACTAATTTATTTATAGTAGTATATATATAGGGTAAAAACCTAATTTAGGAAAACTATTCTTATACCTTAATAGGATATATAAAAACCTATTCTTTCTTAGGAAAAAAATCCTTAGGTATATACTAATAGAAAAACCTATAGTAGGAAAAATCTATAGTTATAATAATTATTTATAGGATAACCTTATATAAGGTAAAACCTATTATTACTATAAAAATCTTAATAGATAAAAACCTAGTAAATATTTCTCTAGGAAACCTTTAAAGGAAAAACCTAGTAGGGGAAAGATATAGAAAGTATAAGAAATATCTAAAAACCCCTTTTAATTGCTTAGAAACTTATATTAAGGATAGACCGTCTCTAAATTTATAGAGTAATCTAGGTCTTAATTCCTTCGTAAAAATTTTAGCTATATTATCTTCTAATTTAATATAAAAGACTTTAATTTCCTCTTTTCTTATACTAGTTCTAGTATAGTAATAGGCTAATCTTATATACTTAGACCTTTTATAAAATTCCGGATTTTCTGCTAATTTAATAGTAGTAGTATTATCCGTTAAAAT